TGGGGTTAAAATTTCACAGAATTGTTCGAAAAGGTATACCGAACGAATACATACTTTAGTTTCTCGTCAAAACACAAAAAATGACAAAAATTGAAATTCAAGGCCAATATCTCTTATGAGGATCGAAATTCAGCTATTTTGATTGGACGGTAGATTTTTTCCTCATAATCGTTTTTGTTGTTTACAGTTTTACTTGATCTATTATAGTCTCAAGATAGAAGCCAAAATCGTGAAAGATGGTAAATAGGAAGCGTACGACGGATTCGGTTGGAATAGAATATATGCAGATCATAAAGTTCTGAACATTTTTGCATCCCTTCGATATTCTCTATCTATAATAGATAATAGACAAAACTTTTGTGTTATCATAGTGTTCTTTTTGGTTAAGCCTAGGCGGAATTGTTGGTTAGCGGCGGGATCATCGGACACATAAAACTAGATACTACAAGAATGGCTGTGGCTAAGTTTGGTTCTAATATTGGCGCATTAGTTACTGGGGAAAAGATTTATGTAAACATTAACAGCCGACTGACGACACACGACGGAAAACTGACGACAGACGTCAGACAACGGACGAGAAAACTCGAGAAAAGCTTGATCAGTCAAGTTATATAGCAGACTTTAATGTACGGTCCCTTTCTTTATTTCGAGTTCGATAGGGAAGATGCAGGTAACATGGAAATCAAACTTTGAATAATTGGATGAGAGGACATAATTATCTGAATAAATGATTATGAAGCTAACTATTATACTTAATCGCTATTTTGTGTATTTTTCCTTTGATCTTTTTTGTGACAAATTTTCATATCATGCTACTCGCTTGAGACAGAAAATTATCGCCAGAAACTACGGGTGCACATGCCGTTGTCAATGAAAACGTCAACGACCACAGCAGAAAAATAGCGATAAACAGATCAGCATTAGTCTTTTGAACTCGAGGCCACATCTCATCTCAGGGACTTCGCCCTACGATGAGATTGTAGCTGTGAAACACCCTCTCGTTTGAAAAACCATTGATAATCTAAACATATATTACTAGCAGATAACAACCATATCAAAATATATTTTTTAAGATATCTAATAATAATTCATTTGATAATGAGATGCATTGTTTATTTTGTTATTTGTTTTGGATATTGTATATTTCTGTCAAAGGAAGGAATGCTAGTATGCCCATCACGAAGATTAACTTTACCTCTTACAAATACCCCGAAAACAATTCAATTAGAAAAATTTTAAAAAAATGCGAGCAAGAAGCTCACCTTGATTGAAACTAACTACAGTACCCGGATGCCTACGCATCTTAAACAATATAAATATAAGGAGATGTAGAAAGATTTAGAATGAGACAACTATCTCCCCAAAACCAAACAACAACGATGTAAACAACCACAGATCACCATATGGCCTTCAACATTCAGTACAACCTGTATACTGAGCGATAAAAGGCACTGGAATAACAAAAAAATTCAAATAGGAAACTAACGGACTAGTTAAACTGAAAATATCAAACGAAAATTAATTATCAGTGATTATGGAGGACAGCAAATAATGACAACGATTAGATTTCAGGCTTTTGGTTTAGGCGCTCAATTTACAAGGTACAGTGATGTTACAATACAATGAGAAAATGCCAAGGGTACAGTTATAAGTAAAAGAAAAACAGATAACACTATAACCAAAACAGAAAAACGACGAAATGACAAACAACACACTACAGATATTGAGCAACAAGTACCTCATCAAAAACCTGGGTTGAATTCAGGTCCTCAGGAAGGGTCACATTAGAACATTAAAATAGAACTGTTAAAGTTAGTTGAAAAAGTCCTAATTCATCAGATCGGTACAAAGCGGAACTAGCTTACAGCCACTGCGAGTACTCTTAGAACGGCACATTGTGTCTTCAGTTGTTTTGTTTTTTGTTTTGTGTGCTTTGTGCGGATCTGACGAGTCAAGCCTTTTTCACTGATGTGTTCTTATATTGTGCTGTTATACCACTATCAAAGGTTAAGGGAGGATCGAGGCCTCGTAAATATGTTTAACTGCTTACATCGGCGTCATGTGGTCTCTTGTGGATAGTTGCCTAAATGGCAATCATAACTTATCCTCTTCTTTATATAGAGAAAATAACAAAAGACATGATTTTTTACTGCTCCAGCAATCACAAAGTGTTCTTAAAGATGTTCATGTAGTTTAACGTCATATTAGTGTTTGGAAGCAATTAATGCACATGATTTTTCAGTTTTGTAAAATATTTCAATTTTTGGCAAATGTAACTTCAATATTGGTTATCAAACTTAATTTCAAATGGGGATAACTGGAATCTGGTCATCATATGAATGTTTCGAAATGTTTTGTGAGATTTTCTATTTATAGTAGACGGAAGTGCCTATTGTCTTGGGGTTGTCGTTATCAACCATTACTCGAATTTTGTAAATCATTTTATCATTTTTTTACCAACCACTCATATGAAAAATGTAGGTCAATTTGAAAACTTTTTGCATTGACCTTCATGCCTGTTTAATCTGAGGTCATCGATAGAACGACATTTCTGTGTTAATTGTGTTTCGATATTACCCTTAACAAGTGATTGCTGAAGATAATGTCAAGGTGATCGGATTCTTGCATGTACCTTTCTTTCTTTTAAAGATGTATTCATATATATGATATCATTTCTCAATGACTTAAAATGGCCTTATATGACTTTAATGCAAAATTCAACCAGGATTGCTGGACAAATAAATTAACAAACTTTTCCCTCTCCGCATCTTCTGGGCTACAAATGAATCATTGCATTGTTCTAATTAGCCCTAAGATGCGGTATATATAGTTTTATAAATGTATATTTTCCCTGTCTCATATCTTTAAGGATAACTCACCGATGATTTTCATATTGGACAAGTCTCATCACTTATATTACCCATTGCCAAGAGATTCATATTAAGACTTAATAATTCCAATTCAAAATTATTCAAATGAATGACCTTTTAAATGTTAACAAATTTTTACACATAGTTTTCTGTTATAGATATTTTATTTTGAGGAACGGGTTAGTCAGCAGGTAATATGTGTTAAAATTTTGAATGGAGAGAGGCAGAGGACCATTTAGACTTTAATTTAAGTCTCAGTAGTCGCACTCAGGTATCTGACATAGCTACAGATCTGTAAATGTAGTGACTTTTTTCAAACACTTATTGTAATTGATTCTTTTATTACTATCAATTAATAAGGATGTAGCGACAAATCAGTAGTTAAAAAATACCTAAGCAAAGTTGAATTTTGATAATTTTAGCTATTCTATTTAGGTCCCTTTTGGTCATATAGTTCCTAACGTGTCTAAGATTTTAAACATTCCTTGCTTTCAAATGTTTCACTTGTTCTAAACATGCATAAACTATTTGCCATTGGGAGTTAAGCAAACAATAATCAATCAAATGTTTAAGTTTCAGCGTTCTTGATGCCGGCAAATCGCTTCGGACACACGAAATTATTAAATGTTGATTTAGTGAACAAGCAATCGGGCGATAACACTGCTTGTGGACTGTTAGTCCCTGAGGGTATAGTATTCTGAGTAGTCAGTGCTTCCGTACTATTACTAAAATACATTCTAAATTTCCCAGTTGATAAATTAAGAAATTATCAACAAACTCAGGTTCCAAATGAATCAGGTAAAAGAGAGGCACAAGATAGCAAAGGGATACTCAAACTGATAAGTTTAAGACAAACTGACAACGAAATGGCAAAGTTCACGCTAAATGAATTTGGCTAATTTTAAGTCCCTTCTGTTCGTAGTGTACGAATGTTTTCATGTTTTTTAATCTCTGGCTTTCAAATGTTTATGTTTGTGCTGCCTGATGGAGGTAAAAACGATTCGGATGCTCGAAATTTATAAAACGTCATTATGACATAACAGAATACTAGTATTTAGTAGACTTTATTTTAAGTAATTATTGTTGAATATAAGTTTTCGAGCTCTTGATATTAGAAAGAAACAGTTTTACAGGAAGAGAAATTGATGAGTGTTAAATTAAGATGGAACAGTAGTTCCCGATGTTAAAATGACATCAATCCATTCAGAACATACCAATTTAAGTTAACACACAAATATTAAGTGAAATGCATGTCACTGATCTTCAAAAGACGAGATACGTGGTGAATAGAAGAGAAAACATCTCCTGTAATAAACACATTATTTGCCATGTAAATCCACAATCGGTCAAAATGTCATAATATGGAAATCTGTGGCCGAAATATTAGTGCAAATTGAAAAACTACCATACATATTCTTAATTGTGTCCTAACACACTTAGGTACAATGTGTTTAGAAAATAAAAACAAATTTCACATTTAAGGAGTTAAAAAAAGTTTGTTTTCCTTGCTTTACATCAACTTTAAATATATTTTAGATTGGAAAAGTATGTGTGCATACAGGAAACAACTTTCCACTTGGTGAGATTATGTCAATAGTTATCATAAAGCTTCATTTAAATGATTTTGTTGTTTCTTGGGTGCGAACAACGTTTCCACAATAGAAATAGTGCATAAATTCTGCAGTTTTCATATGTCAAATGTGATATGTAATGAACTGTTCTATGATGATGATGCATATAGAAAATTTACGAATGAAAAAGAAAATCATTATCTTTTTCGTTCGAATCCTAAGAAATTTCTACCAAAGGAATAGATTAAAGAAGTTGTATTTGTCAAAACATTTCGAAATTTTGGGTCCGCAATGCCTTCTTTTTTTATTTGGCCTTTTAACTTTTTTATTCGAGCGTCACTGATGGATCGTTTGTAGACGAAAAGTTCGTCTGGCGTACAAAAGTATAAGCCTGGTATCGTTGATGATTTGCTTGCTCTTTTGTCGAAAAGTTTAGTTTTCAGCCGAACCTTTTTTTGTTCATTTTCTGAATCTTCAAAATATTTATAATTGAGTTATTTTACTAGTGCTAACAGACTATGTACAATGTTGCATCATCAATACATAGAAATAAACTTACTTTTGCTGGTAAAAGCCTTTTCTTCATCCTACAATATATAATTGAATTAAAAGGCTGGAATAGGGAGGTTTTTATATACATTGCATTACAGTCCTACATTGTATTATCACTACAAATAATGTATTGTTACAGGTGTGTTCAGACGAAGTTGACGCCTATAAAATTATACCAATATCGTAGTGAATAAAGTGATCTTCGTGATATATCTATGCAATATGATATGTTTCTGTTATATTTTAGACTTGCCAATCTGATTAAGTTGACTTCGTATTTTATTTCATTCAGCCGCTTAAGGGGGCATTAGCTACGAGATATAAAAAAAAAAAAAATATGATCTTTTTTTTCAATCATTAATGAAAGTGAAATAGTGAAAGAATAATTCGCTTTTAGCAGCCAGGTTGGTTCAAAATAAGCTAAGAATCATCGCTGATGACTTATTCACTTGCAAGTGAATAATTCGACCTCATTGAATCCGTATTCATGTGACCTTCAATATAACCCCTTAGCTTGACATGCGTTACGCATGCATTCATCTATTAAAGGGAAAAGAATGTCAACATTGAAAGTGAAACAAGGATGAACCATTTGGTTGAATGATTCGATCCTCAAAAAATCATTTTTATACAGGTAAAAACGACGATATACATACTTTTTAACCTACAATATGAAATCAAACAGACCTAGAAAAATTCCAATTGCACGTGGTCGCTATCTATTTATATTTATATTTATGTTTATATCGGGTTATATGACCATCAGCAGTCTTCGGAGGTCATCTCGATGGTTAATTAGATGACGTCTAGACAAAAATACACACGAAATGTTGATACAGACTATCGAGTCCATGCATTGTTAATTGTTTATTTTAGACTTTTTTAAATTTGAATATACGTTTCAGTATCATGTTATATATCAAATATGAATATTTGAGTTAAATCTTTGAACATGAATTTGAAAGCTAATGCCCCTTTTTTGATAAAATGAAAATAGTGCATATTTGAAAACAAACACTAACAGAGATGAAAGAATATGTTTGGAGTATGCTGATGAGGCAGCAACCAATGGACGCAAAAAAATCAAACGATGTATAGATCATAAAAGAGGCAGAAGATACCGAAGGCTGAAACACTCATAAGTTGAAAAGAGACCGACAAAAAATGGCAAAAAAATCCAAAGAACAACAGAACATGAGAAAGACAAACAACAGTCTTCAAAACACTACACAAAAAACTAAAGACTGAGCAACACGATCCACACGAACAACACTGGTGATCTGAAGTGTTTTATATCAAGATAACGGTTTCATAATTCCAGAACGATTACAAAAGTTGTAAGTATATAAAAAAATGAAGGACAACAAAACGCAAAAGACCTTAGAGAATAAAAAACATCTAGATAAATTCCTGTCAATTAACATAACATATAGTCATTAATGGTAACGAAATCACTGACTTAAATTCTTATGATACTTCTAATAGAGAAAGATAAATATGTTTTATATACTTCCAATGGTTAAGTTTTACTATGAAACACATAAATTTCGTTGAAAAGTAAATCTTTTTTTTTTATCCAAATCTTCAGAAATGTACTGCTGTTGCATTATTATCTTCCCGTACTCTAATTGACCGACAGCTTTTCAATATGAAGTGACCTTAACCATTGCACTTCGAAAACCTCAAAGCGCAAGTGTGAGGGAAAACCCTTGATGATAGAAAGTTGATAAAAGATTGACTAAGTATTTATCGATTCTGAAAGAAAACAGTTAATACACCAAACAATTCAACAACTGTAATGCCAAAGTTTAATTCACAAATGGAACGCATGGAAAATATAAATAAAAACAAACATTCATCGCTTTATCATCTCACTTATTTTTCACGTGCTCCATGGTTCTGTGTTTATTGTTAATCAATAGGTAACGATCGGTAAACCTCAGCACCAAAATCCGAAAATTAATTAGCAGCCGATTATACGTTGTGGATTCGTAAAAAAAATTTTTTTTTTGAAAAGTTTGCACAGAGGACTTGATTTAGTATATATGCATGTATTGGTTAAATAGTTTCTTTAACATTATAATAACCAGAAACTCGTTTTTTATGACTTAAATAATTTACAAGTGATGCATAGATTTCGTTCATCGAAATATAAAACGTTTCTACATACAAGGACAAAGAGATCTAGTTGGGAAATACATACACCGTACGAAAGGCCAAAGGAACACCACGTACCAAAAAAAAAGGATAATTAACAATAACGAACGAAAAGTAGTTTTATTTTTACGTAAAATTTGTTTAGATTATCACGTGTGAAAATAAAATATCCAAATCTAGAAAAAGGTAAAATAAAATATCCAAATCTAGAAAAAGGTTAATACTAGATTTATAAAACGTGTCAAAAGGAAACTCATGGGTAAATGTTCGAAGTATAATAAGAGAATTATTGATTATTTAAAGAAAAACACATCATCAAGGTAACGTTGAGTGTTATTAAATTGATCAATTTATTTGAATTTATATAGCTCTTTACTGAGTTTGACTCAAGAATCGATCAATTTTGGATATGCCTATCAATATTGCATACTTTTTAACCACATTCCAAATCCATAATACATGATTCGATCGTTTTACTAAGTAATTCTATCATAAAGGATGGTGCTTTAGTAGAATTTTAATGTGACCGCTATTCTTCCGGACTGTTCGATTGTATCATAGGTCATGCTGTAGATATCCATTAAAACAAAACAAAAAATAAAATAGAGAATTAAAACTGGGAATGTTTAGAAAAGACAACAACCGACCAAAGAGCAGAAAACAGCCGAAGGCCACCAATGAGTCTTCAACACAGCGAGAAAATCCCGCACCCGGAGGCGTGCTTCAGCTGGCCCCTTACAAAATATATACTAGTTCAGCAAAAATGGACGTCTCAATAAACTCCAAAACATATAAAGGAACCAAAATTAACAAAACATCATGAAAAACAAAGTCCAAAGGTTCCTGACTTGGGATAAGCGTAAAAATGCGGCGGGGTTAAACATGTTTTGTGAGATTAACATAAATTAACAAAGGACTACTAGCAGTCACTGACATGCCAGCTCCAGATCTCAATTAAACTGATTGAATGAAAGATTGTCTTCATCATCTGAAAATCAAGCACAATCCCTCCCGTAAGGCATTTAGTATCATACCGTTATAAAATATATGAGAAGAACATAACCCGTATCATGCCAGTAACTGGTTTTAGAATAAATGTGTTTATTTCCGACGCAAAGACCCTATGAGTGAATCAATATTTATTCCACAAAAAATGCCATCTTTAATGACTTGACAACAGTATCGTAACTATATCCCTTCTGAATAAGTCTTTTCAACGGTTTGGTTAGCTTTTAAGTTGAATGACGACATTTTTGTGCTTTGTATAGAATATATTCATAAAAGATGGGATGTGAAATAACAGAACGTATATGATGTCTGCACGTTGATTTATATTTACGAATGATGCCCTTGTACCGATGATAAAATTTAGTAAATGTTTTGACAGGTTTGTGATATCGAAAACCCTGGAGTAATCATTTTTCAGTAATATCGTTAAAATCAAATACATTGTAACATACACGAGCGAATCGTACAAGTTGAGATATATAAACACCATAAGATGGTGACAATGGAACGTCACCATAAAAAAAAGGATAATTAACAATAAAATATTTATAAATCATCTCTTTTATCGTAAATTTTAGTATTATGTTTCCCGTTAAAGATATATATATATATCAAGATCCAGGAAAGGACAGTGTTCATTGTTAGTATTAGCTTTTTTAAAAGTCGGTTCAGCAAGATAAATCTCTTTGGTGTACATACTGAAGTCGTCATTATTGAGAGCCAATATATCATCCAAATATCTAAAAGTGTTATTAAATTTTTATATCAGATGTTGTTTCGATGGGTCTATGCTGATTTTAGTCATAAATTGTAACTCGTTATAATACAGAAAAAGGTTCGGAATTAGTGGTGCACAGTAAATCTCCGTTGGAATTCCGATAACTTGACGATATACGGAATCTCCATAGCGAACAAAAATGTTATCTAGTAAAAATTCAAGTGCAGTTATCGTATCAAAGCAGGTCCAATTGACATAATTCTTTTGTCTGTTGTTACTAAAAAATGACCTGAAAGAGTTTGAACATACATATTCGCACTCCGACTTTTTAAATGGCCATTTAATTAGAAAAATCAAAACTTTGAACAGTTTCAAAACAACAATATGAGCGTGCAATTTATTAAGTACTTCCAACGAATTTTTAACACTCCAAAAGTAATTAATTCCACTATTTTCAAAGGCCTTATTTGAACAATTTATTACCAGGTTTTTGATTGTACCAAGTGTACTAGTAAGTAGAACAGACAGTTTAGTTGTGGAACAATGTCTTGAAGACGTAATAAATCTATATTTGTATGGTGTTTTGTGAAGTTTCGGAAGCCAGTACATAGTTGGAACTTTCATGGTATTCGGTTCTATTTCTTAAGAGAAAAAAAAATATTCAGAGCGACAATACAATCTAAACCGGTTTACAATAAACCTAAAACGAATTCACATATTTCAAAAGTATTATTCCAAACAAAGATAGATGTACAGTTACCGTTGTCCCGGACATGGAAGATACAATTTTACATATCAGTAAAAAGCTCAAAACAATTATTTACCAACAATGCATATATAACTTTTATCTAATAAAATTTTGTTCGAGGAACAGTTCAGAATTTCGAAAGATGCTTTGATTTGATTTTGACATTCTGTCGTGAGCTTAACACTAACAATTCACATAAATTAAAAGTTGTAGTTATATAGAAAAAAATACTGCAATAACATTAAAAACGTATAACATCTACAATAAAATAAATAGCTCATAATCATTTATTTACGCAATAAAAAAAGAGCACAACAATTTGTCCTATTAATTAACTATTGAACATATTTCAGGACTAAATTTTGGTTTGTATTTAAACGATATGTTGGCAGTTGATATATGCA